TCAGCAGGAGGGCAGCGCGGCCTTCCAGAGAACTCTCCTCTGTCTGACCCCCTCCGCCACCTCTACCATGTCATGCTTAAGGCAAGATATTGAGTCACGGAGTATCAGCTCCCCCAAGGAAGGTATCTTTGTTTATTTGGTTCATTGTTCTAGCCCCAGAGCACAGAACTGTGCCCGCAGGAGGTGCCTGGAAAGTAGTTCCTGGACACCTGAGTGACAACCCCATCCTGGCAGCCGCGCATCTTTGCTCCTTTTTGTCCTCACAGCTCACCTCCAAACCTGCAAGAAATCCTGTGGGCTTGATCTGCAAAATGTGCCCAGAACCTGATCTCTTCTCACCACCCCCAACTCCAACCACCTTGGTCTCAGCTGCTGTCAGGCCTGCAATGGCCTAACTGCCTGGCCTCCACCACCTGGGTCTCTTCTCCGCACAGTTGCCAAAGAGATGCTATTAAAACCTAAGTCAGCACCCGGCACTGTCTCTCCCATTCTGGACACCATGGCAGCCTTCCTCAAGCGGGACTCCGGGGAGGACCAAGCTCTAAAGCCCTCTGGCAGCCACCGTCTTCCCCAGGTACCCAAGGTGCTTGCCATTCTCCATTCTCTGGAGAATTTAGAAATTAAATCAAATTGTTTCTGTGTTCTTGGCTCAGATGAACCCCAGTGGCGAGAGGCTCTAAAAGCCAAGGTCTTTTCCATGACCTGCCAGACCCTACATCTCCTGGCCCCTCCGAGTTGTTTCTCGGAGGTCATCTACTACCCTCCCCCTAAACACGGCTCTGGCCACACAGCCTTGTTGCTGTCCTGCTTCCGGCATTTGTCCTAGCTGTTCCCTCTACTCAGAATGTCCTTTTCTCCAATAATTTGTCTTGCCTCCTTTAGGACTTTATTTCCATGTCACCTTCCATGAGACCTTTCCTAACCTCACCGAGCACTCCCCATTCGCCTTCCCTGCTGGATTTTTCTCCACGACATGCTGACACACAGCCTACTTAGTTATTTGATGACTATCTGTCTCCTCCAGCTAGATAAAAGCTCCACAAAGGCAGGGCCCCCTGTTTTGTTCACCGAGATGTAGTACTCCCAGTGCTTAGAACAATGCCTAGCAAAGAACGAATGCTCAATGAATATTTTGTGAATGGATGACCTAGTCCACTTTAATCCGTTCCGTGTTCCACTCACTGGAACACTCTGCCATTCATGCACTCTGTACATTTGAAACACCTTCTCAGAACAGAGAGAAAGAGACAGAGGACAAGAGTAGTTCTGGACACAGATAAGGTCTTTCACTGGCATCTCCCCTTCTGCCAGGTCCACCCAGGACTGAGCAAACTCCATGTATGATTTTACAACAGTCCCGTGAGGTAGGGATGGGAATCCCATTTTGCAGAGGAGAAAAACTGAGGCTAAGGGAGGAATAGTCACCTCCCAAAGCCACACAGTGAGTAAATGGTGCAGCAAAGATTTGAATCCAAAGCCCACAGGGCCCAGAATTTGAAAAGCAAGGGCTGTGGCTTCAAACAAATCCCAACCAGTAAGTAGCTTCAGTTCTCCAATCTGCAAAATGGGTATCACAATCCTAACCCATTGGTTGATGAAAACTCCAGGAGTAATGTGTTCAGCATAGGGCTAACACAGCATAGGGCCTGGGCACAAGAGATGCAGCCGTCATTATTAGTTATCATCACAGCAGCTGCTGTCACCCCATCCTCCATGTCTGTCCGCCCATCCCCCATCTCTCGCTCATCCTGCCTCCTCAGGCCTACACTGCTTCCCAGGCAGCTGCAGTCTCATGGCAAACAGTGTATGGGTGGGTGGGAACGCGAGCAGTTCTGGGCCCTGGGGGCCCACAATCACCTCCTCATTGAATAGCTTGCTGGTGTCCTTCTTGATGAGATCCAGGTACTGCACTTGACCGGCTGAGAATCCCACCAGCAGGGAGATGGTCTCTGTGGCAGCAGTGAACTGGTTGAAGTCGTGGCAAGTGGGCTGGGTGCCCTTATAGATCCGCTTGTCAATTGGCTTGTTGAGGTCAATGGACTTGGGTGGTGGGAGAAAACGAGTTAATGGCTTCTACCACTGAGAGGAAGGAAGAGGGTGTTGAGGTTGGGGGAAAACCACGAAGAGGAAGCAGGGTTAAATCCCTGAGGGGAGTGGGTAGGTGGATGGGTGAGTGGGGAGGGAAGGTGCAACCACAGACAGGAAGGAGCACCCAAATCACAAACAGAGGAGAAAACCAGGCAGGAAGCTTTGCCCCCTGCCACCACATGAGACCACAGTGCGTCCTCCCCAAAGTTGGACACCCCCAACTTCTGGTACACCCTTGGCCACAGTGTCAGTTTCAGGGCCCCTGTAGTCCCTGAGCTCCAATTCCTTTCTATAATTTCAGCAACTCCCCTGGGTCTTAGCACCACTATATTCCAAGACCCTCAAAACTCACGATCATCCAATCCCCAGAAGTCTAAAGTCCAATGTCCCAGGCTTCTCCTCACTTTGGAGTCCTTAAATCTCAGCATCCCCATCACAGTTCAGGGACCCATTAAACCTCATGGTCCCCCAAATTTTAGGTGCCTTCACCATCTCTGGGCTCTCAGGACCCCATCACTTCTGGGGACCACCATAAACTCCAAGGGTCTTGTGTCCTCTGGGACTGACATCACTTTAGAGACACCCATCACACTTGAGGATGTTCCCTCTGGGATCTCATTATCTCCAGATCTCCCATCAGCTCCGAGATTCTCATTTCCTCCAGCACCCTCATTACCTCCAGAACCCCAAGTTTCTCTAGGATCCCATTCACCTTCAGGATCCCTATTACCTCTAAGCCCCCATTACTTCCAGAATCCTCCTCACCTCTGAGCTCCACAAGTCCCCCCAACACCCTCAGACAGCAATACCCCTGGGCTCTCCATCACTTCTGAGCCTGCATTTCCCATCACCTGCAAAATGCCTGCCAGCCAGCACCTTGGAGCACCCCATACCATCTCGGATTCCCCATCACCTCCAGAACAGTCACCATCCCAGGACCCCCACGCATAACCTCGGGATCTCACATGATCTCGAGGTTTCCCATCACCTCCCAGCACACAGGGAGCCTCCCATCACCTTTTAGAATCCTGTATTACCTCCAAGAATCCTTTCCCCTTAAGATGTCTGTCACATGTAGGATGCCTATCTCAGGGCCCCCTATCATTCAGGGACTCTCCTGTCACTTGTGAATCACCTCAGGGATCCCCATCCTCTCAGCCAGCACCTAGGGCCCCACGATGCGGGCCGCTCACCCGTTGGCTCCCGCGGCGACAGCAGCCCGGGTAGAAATAGAGCTCGCGGCCCAAGTTGAAGCAGACGCGGTCTCCCCCAGCGCCCAGCCCTGCGGGCGTGGCGGGAGGCTCCCCGGCCCCGGCGCCGTCGGGCTCCCCGAGGCGCACGAGGCTGAGGCGCACCGCAGGCAGCGCGGGCCCGGGCCCTGGGCCTGCGGGCGGAGGGGACGGCGCGGCGCCCGCAGCACCGGGGCCGGAGGTGGAGGCAGGGCCGGGCATGGGCTGCTGCGGCGGCTGGGGCGGCGCCGGGGTCTGGGAGGAAGCCGGACCCGACCTGCGAGCGGCGCCGTCGCCGGGGAGCAGCTTGTAGAAGCCCTCGCGGGTGCGGAACTGCGACTTGATCTCCGCACAATCCCCCATGGCAGCACCGGTGCCCGAGCCGCCCTCCGCGCCGCCCGCCGCCATCTTGGGCGACCCCCACCCCAGCCCAGGGCCCCGCTAGTGCCGGACAGCCGCCAGCCGCCGGGCCCCCTGCCGGAAGCCGGGGATCCGCACCGGAAGAGGTGGTGTCGTCGCCCGGGCAACGCCTCTTCGATTGGCAACAGGGTAGGGAGGCGGGACGAGCTCCAGCCGTCGCTCCGGTAACGGTTCTGGACTGAAGGCGGGGCTACAAGGTGGGCGCGGCCTTCGTGCCTGAGGCCGACGTGGT